TTTCCCCCCGAACTTCGACATCAGAAAAGAGCTATTTTCTCAGCGCAAGCAACGGGAGTTCATCCCGGACAACAAGAAGGACGACAGCTACTGGGACCGCAGGCGGCGTAACAACGAGGCAGCGAAGCGGTCTCGCGAGAAGAGGCGCTTCAACGACATGGTGCTCGAGCAGCGCGTGATGGAGCTCAGCAAGGAGAATCACATCCTGAAGGCGCAGCTCGAGGCGATAAGGGACAAATTCGGCATCTGCGGTGAGTCCGTGATCAGCACGGAACACGTGCTCGCCGCGTTGCCAGCCGAGCCGCCGATCAGCGTTAAAAGAGCGAAATTGCCCGCCTCCGCGGCGCTTCTGTACGCGAGGACGCCCAGCCCGGTCCACACCTCGGTGATCCATCAGCCAGTCAGCGGTGCCAGATCGCCCAGGTCACCGGCACAGCTCTACGTACCGGAGACAACCGCTTATCCCGAGTCCGAGAGTTTCCAGTACGCCTATCCTCACCCAGCGATGCACCTTGACACGACGAGCGCGTTGAACCTGTCGCGCGGCAGGCGAGCACAGTCGCCGTTCGAACTTTCATCCGGCAGCGGGGACGAGGGACCACAGCTGGTGGTCAGCTCGCAGAATCCGGCGGCCAACAACAGTTTGCCACACAAACTCAGGCACAAGTCGCGCATCGGCGACAAAGACGCGGCCAGCGCGTTGCTGGCGCTGCAAGGCATCAAGCAGGAACCCGGACCAAGAGCATCGCCTCCATGGGACAACGAGGGGTCCAGCGACGAACGCGATTCCGGCATCTCTTTGGGCGCCGAGTGGACCGGTCCAACGGTCGCGACCGTTCCAGAAAGCGAGAGGGAGGTGAAATCGAGGCTCGACCGTCTGGCCTCAGAGGTAGCCTCCCTGCAGTCGATCCTCCGTCTCGGGAAACCAACAGCTGAGAGCCTGGTCACGGCTCACCACTCGTTGCCGGCGAACGCCACCGTTAGCGGGCCGTGAGACCAGATCGACCATCCTCTTCCTCGTCATCTGGTGGACCAGCGAGGAACTGTTTCTACTGACCGAGCCGTTCGCGGCCCTCTTTGCGATCATCAGACAGATCCAAAGATCCCTGAGCTGCGCTGGCAGCGACGCCGGCACCGGCCACGACGACGACGACGACGACGACGACGACGACGACGACGACGATTCCCTCGAACTAGATCGGTGATGGAGAGAGCGGATTGGAGACTTCCGGCGACGATGATCGAGCGAACGTTCCAAGTGTGATGGTAGTTGGTAGTAGGGCGCACAGTTAGTCACGCGGTCTTTCTTCCGGAGAGCTTCTCGAGACGGGGGTGTACAGTTTCGTCGAGCGACTACTACCGACTTTGCAGTATTGGACCCGCGTGGCACCTTGGTAATCGGCCAATGTCGCGTGCAACAGAATCGTCCGTGCGGTTCTTTTCTGTTTTTTTTTCTTCTTTTCTTTCCTTATCGATCGGATAAGCTAGGATCAGTCAGATAAGTTAGAGTAAGGTAGATAGACAACGCCGGACACCTGGCCCGGGTGTCTGCTAAGCTTACGTTCGATCGGGTAGCTCGATCCCACGACCGTCGACGCGCGTTCTTCGGATTTGTCGTCATCGCTGCGCGAATCCGTGTCAAGCTCTTTTTTTTTACCCGGAAACGATGAGATCGGATCGATTCGAATCGGGGGAACGGCTACCCGACGCCAGTCGTTGAAGTCGGGAACGCGGTTCCCGGACACCCGCAAAAAGAAAAGCCAAAACACGGGTCTCCCACTGTCCCATGCTCTACCGTGACGATGATCTAGGTGATAAGGTTGCGACTAGGGTGTAAGTTAACTTAACGCTGTAAGACCTTCTTAGGTTATTTCGTTGCTGTTTCATCATTACCGTTGATTCGAGCTGAATTTAATCGTGTACGCCAGACCGTGCGCAAAGATTCGTAGCAACCTCGTTGCTTCTGGAATTTCTGACGCTCAGCTCGGCTCGCGGACCGACGGAGAGACGTCGATCCGAAGATCTTCGGACGATTCAACCGTTGTCGAGTTCAATGACGATTAACGAAGGGAAGGAAACCGAATGGGGGAAACGAATAATGAACGACTTCGAAGATCTTCGGACGCGCGAGCCGCGTCGAGCCTCTGTTTGGACACCTTCAATTGGTCATTGGTCATCGCGCAACCGGCTAATTTCACTACCGCCAGTCGATTCTTAACATTTTAATTCCTGCACGCTCGCGCGCAAAGCAATAAATCCCCTTTTCTTGTCCGATCCTCTAAATCGCTCGGTTAATATTCCTCGCGCGGCACGACCCAACACCGTTCCGCGAGAAGAGAATCAGCGGAGCCCGAGCGTTTGTGATAGTCGCGTCGAAGCCGATCGACGCCGAACTCTACGGGGTCGATCCTGTGTATATAGCGTACCTCCGAGAAATCGAACCCTCATCGGTTCTTCCTCCCGTCGTTGGAACCCTTTCCTTTTTGTCTTCTTCCTTTTCTCATTTGTTTTTCTTTTTTTTTATACTTTTACTATTAACGTGACTACGTAGTGTACATATGTATGTAGCAAGCGAGACAATGCGTGGATGCGTGAGTGTGCGTGACTGTTCGTGTGCATTGTTTGCTGGTCCTTCGAGATTCTTGGCACCGGGAGCCAATCTTTTCTTTTTTTGTTCTCTGTCGGAAGGGGTATAGAGGTTCTAGGTTGGATATCAGAAACGCGCAGCATCCAAGTATTAAGCGAGCCTATGGGTGTATGTAATTAATATACATAATGCACATATACCAGAATGATACATATGTATAAATATACGTATATGTATACATACATATATATATATTTTCAAATTAATGTATTTTTCGATATCGTGTGTGTGTGTGTGCGACTGAGTGTGAAAGGAA